GATCGTGGGCTTGTGGGGGGCCAAGGAGGGGGGGGAACGGGTGGTGGAGACAACAGGGCTGTGGGGGGCGTGTGGCTCCAGGGCAGGGGCTCAGGGGAGGTGGGCCAGGGGCCGCAAGCCTGCAGGAGGACATGTGGCTGGGAGGCGTTTGGGGCTGCTGAGGCCAGTGGCCAGTCTGAGGCTGGGAGCTGAGCCCAGCCCAGCACCTGTGCTGAGCTCTGTGGGGAAGGAGGGGCAGGCCCAGCTCTGGGCTGCAGCCCGGGGGCTGCTGCTTGGGGCCATGCACGTTCAGCACCTGCTCAACCCCCCAGGCACCAAGGAGGCCACGACCACCCTGCATGTGCTGACGCTGCTGCGCGACCTGCTGCCCTGCCTGCCCGCGGCCACCACCAAGACCTGCTGCGAGACCCTGCTCCGCGTCATGACCCTCGGCCACGTGGTGAGGCCCTGCCTGCGGTGGGGAGCAGATACTGGCTATTACCAGCACGTCTCTCCCAAGCTTGTGCCCTGAAAGCAGGGCCCTGGCCCCCCTCGTCCCCTGGGGCCGAGCCCAGGTCGGGGCTGGCAGCGAGCTGCAATGTGCAAGGAGCCCCAGGCACCACCTGGGACATAGCTGGACCCCCCCCCCCCCCCATCTCCAGCCACAGGGCTGTGCTGCAGGCTCTGCTGGGGGTCAGCCTGGTGCTGGGATGCAAGGGCGGGGGACACACACGTGCCTTGGGAGCCTGCGGGGCCCTGCCTGGTGCTAACACCTCCCTGCACCCCTGATGCCGTGTCTCTTGCAGCTGGTGACGGCGTGCGCCATGCAGGCCTTCCACGGCCTCTTCAGCGCCCAGCCCAGCCCCGCCTGCCTCTCTGCTGAGCTCAATGCCCAGATCATCACGGTGAGTGCGGTGGGGAGGGGGTTGCTGGGGCAGGGGGCCAGGGGAGAGGGGCCGTGGCCAGGCCCTGCTCACCCCCTCTGCCCTGCCCGCAGGCGCTATATGACTATTTGCCCAGCGAGAGCGACCTGCAGCCCATGCTGGCTTGGCTTGCCGTCATGGAGAGGGCCCACGTCAACCTGGTCGGGTGCGATCTCTTGATCTGCTGGGCCGGGGGCAGGGGTCCCTCTACTCGCTCTCTGCCTGGGAGCCTAGCACTGGCCCGGCTGGAGGCTCTGGGGTCTCAGCTTGGCCTCGTGCAGCGGCTCTAGCTGTTCTGGTCCAGTCCAGCCTGGAAGCAGCCAGGGGAGGGGGTAGCTGGTGCCAGGCTGCTGTGTTTGGGGTTGGGGGGCAGGGGTTGTGCAGGAGCTCTGCTAGCCCCACGTGTGTTGCAGGCTGCAAAAGGAGCTGTGCTGGGGGCACCTGCCCCGGCTCTTCACAGCTGCCATGACCTGCCTCTTGTCGCCGCACCCCCAGGTGCTGTCAGCCACCGCGCAGACCCTCAAGGTACCCACCCCAGGGCATGGGAGTCATGGGCACGTCTGGGAGCCCAGGGCCAGGGTAGGGCCTCTGCCCCCAGGGCTCTGGGCTGATGGTGCATTGCACACTGGGGCAGGGGCTGTGGCTCCCAGCCCTCCACGAAGGAAGGAGCGGCTTGGAGGCTGAGCAGGATGGGGCACTGGATCAGGGCAGCCCCAGGGGCGAGGGAGCTGGCCTGGGAAGGGTGGCAGAGGCGGGGGCTGTCTCGAAGGGGGGGGGGGGGGGGGGGTCTTAGGTGGCAGGGTGGGGGGGAAGGGGGGGGGGGG